CTTACATCATCTTTTCTGCTCAAAAATCTTTGTCTTGAATATCTATAGTACTGCATTAGGTGAACAAGAACTATAGAAATATGGGACCACATGTATAATTTTAAATTTTCTTGTGGCCTCATTAAAAAGAAACAGGTGAAGCGGATTTTTTAATATATTTTATTTAACTCAGTGTGTCAATTTTTAGGATGAGTAATCAATATAAAAAGTTAATGTTGCATTTTAGATTATTTTTTCTAACAAAATCTTTGAAATCTGGTGTGTATTTTATATTTAAAAGATCTCATTTTTGACTAGCCACACTTCAAGCGGCTACCATATTTGACAGCTCAGTTCTAATTCATGCTTAGAAGATAGAAAGCCACGCCTTCAATTTTTCTCAATACATTTCTTCTTTCTGTTTTTGTCAACTCTAATGAGTTCTAATTTACATCTATCAAGTTAACTTTAAGCACACAATTCTATGAGCTTTGATATGTAGACAATTGGTAATCACCAACATAATCCTATATAAAGGGCATTTCCATCACCCCCAAAAGTTTTTGTGTCCTGTTGCAAGTAATCCCCTTCTTACACCCCTGGACATTGGCATCCACTAGTCAGTTTTTAACTCGTATACTGTAGTTTTGTTTTTTCTAAGATTTCATATAAATGGAATCATATAGAAACTTACCTTTGGTATTTGGCTTCTTTCCCTTTATATAATGCTTTTGAAGTATATCTTGTGGTTAAGTATCCATTCCATTTTATTGTTTGGTAATATGCCATTGTATGAATATACCAAAATGTGTTCATTTACCAGTTAATGGTTTTATGTATTATTTCCAGGACTTGGCTATTATTGCATTACATTGCTTTCAGGAGGCAGAAATGCCCCATGGCCTATCCTGTACATGAAGGTCACATTTGGGAGCCCAGGGCTAGTGTGCTTTCAGCGAGGCAGTGCATTTGTGAGCTGGCTCTTTCATGTCCCAGACAAGGCTCCAGCTAGGCAAGCAGACTAATGGCTTCCAAGAAAAGTGATTAAATGCCAGAACACACACACTCACTCTATACATACATACATACATACATGCACAAGAAAGATGTCTTTAAAAAATTCTCTTTGTGATTTAAGACAATAGTAATATAATTTAACAACTGAAAACTTCTAATAATGAGAATAAAATAGTGTTTTTCAATGAGAAGGACATCTGTCTTAATTCAGCACAGACAAGAAATAAAATTAGAGTAAATTCTAGCATTTCTAGTTGTCTAGTTAGAGAAGCTTCTAGCTTTTTTAACTGACCCTTACCCCAGGCACACAGAGGCAACTGGCTCAGGCTGAGCTTTCTCATGTTGTCCTTAAATGCCATCTCATTAAATCTTGTTATGAATGGAAATAGTGGATTTTCATCGTAGGTCCAAAAGAAGTAAGAAGATACGAAAAGTGGTAAGAAAGTGCCTCATGAATTCTTGTAACAGATACTTATTTAGGGCTATCTATCTACCAGACTTTGCTCTGTCCCCAGTAAAAATATCCAGAGGCCCTTTTCCTTGTGGTGAGAGGTAAGAGCACCAGAAGATCAGAGAGCAGTGCCAGCTTAGGTGTAACCATAACTAGTTTTTGCATTGGCTCAGACAATTATCACAACTGTACTCCTAAGGGAGGAATGATTTCAGCAGTGCACAAAAGATGAAGCCACATCTCAGATCAGGAATTATTCCAGTGTTCTAAAACTAGACACTGATAAATTCAGGATTTAGACCTGGGTCCATGTTACTCTAGTACCAATGCCTTCTTTTCTGCCCTATACTGCCAGGGAAAAGGAGGCAGCCTGAGTCTGCAAGATGTAATGCCAGGAATGAAGCAGAGTTGGACTGGGGAAGGAGCCTGTAGATAATTTAGAAAGAGCTGTTGGATGCTTTTTTTTTTTTAATTTATTTTTTAACGTTTGTTGATTTTTGAGACAGAGACAGAGCATGAGTGGGGGAGGGGCAGAGAGGGAGGGAGACACAGAATCGGAAACAGGTTCCAGGCTCTGAGCTGTCAGCCCAGAGCCCAGTGCAGAGCTCAAACCCTTGCACCGTGAGATCATGACCTGAGCTGAAGTCAGACGCTTAACCGACTGAGCCACCCAGGTGCCCCTGTTGGATGCTTTTAAATGCTAGGAAGAACTGGGATTCCATCCTGAAGCAGTGTGGCCAAAAAGTGAGACCAGCGCTGGTCAGGATATGGACAGAAGCAAGCTGAGCCACTTCATGACCGGAGTGCCCTTGCAGGTGATGTGGGTAGCATGAAGAAAACATTCTCTCCCTTTAAGGACCAGACGGGTCTCTGATTAACAACCTGAGATTTGAAACTGCATAAAACTGGATTGTTATCTTTACTTTGTCACTTACTCACTCTGAGACTTTTGGTAGTTAAACACCTTTTTAAGAAATTCACTTTTCACATTCAGAAAATAGATGTTATTAAACTTCCCTGATAGAATTATTGTGGGGATTGCTTATATAATATCTGTAAAGAGTTCAGCCATTGCCTAGCACATAGAAGTGATCAGAAAATTGTATTGATGATTATTTCCTTCATACACATTTCATATACACTTGTCTGCATTAATCACGGTTATCTATCTTTGTGTCTTCGAGAGTAGATTTGTTTCCTGCTGGGAGTCTAAATAGTATATGCCCTTGGGGAGTATTTGTTTCATTCATCATTATCTCCCCACAGCAGCTATAGAACCATGCTTGACTCTCCAGTACTCTCCCATCACATGCCTTTTATACAAGCTGAGAGGCGGGGAGAACTCTGCACTGGAGGTCATGGGTAAGCCCCCTCTTCTTCTTTCTTCCTCTCATGCACTTTGTTTATTAAAATATAATTCTCATATCATGAATTTCACCCTTTTAAGGTATATTTTTTGGTATAGTCACAAATGTATTCAATAAGCACCACTAATTCCAGAATTTTCATCACCTCATAAAGAAACCCTAAACCTCTGAGCAGTAACTCCCCATTCTTTCTCCCTCAGCAACTAATCTATTTTCCCTGCCTAAGATTCACCTACTCTGGACCTTTTGTGTAAATGGGATTCTATAATATGTGATCTTTTGTGTGTGGCTTTGTTCACCTGGCCTGATGTTGTCAAGGGCATTCACGCTGCAGCATGTATCAGGACTTCATTCCCGCCTTCCTCCCACTTTTACACATTTCTATCCCATTAGTGATTCAGTACTTGCCTGAAATGTTGTAAGACCTCTTTGTCCCTTCATACATCTTCCTTAGGTCTTTCTCTGGGGACTAGTCCTACACTAGAAGGGCACGTGGTCTCAACAGCCCCACCTTTCCCCTCTCCTCTCTCAACACATGCATCCCTTGAGGCTCCTGTCAAAATTTGTCACAGGCCCTGGTGAAATTTCTTCATCAAGCAGGACCTTTCTCATTTCCACATCCCTAAAGCCCCGGGTCTGTGTCTGATTTTTACCACCGTCACCACTGAACATCTGTTTAAAGTTCTGACTTTGAGGACAGAGCCTTGAACTAGGATTATGGACATGTTAAGTTCTGCCAACTCTATGACTTAGAAGCTGTTTGATTTTATTATGTCACCTAATGTCTGTCTCTATTGTTTTATCAAAGAGCCAAAAATACTTATTTATTCAGGGTTTTTTCTATGAGGGTTAAAGAAATCAGGGGAATGTGATTTCTAAACCACAACTAGGTATAAAAGTTTTATAAAAATATTACCTCATGTTATTGTGGTCATTGCTGGTGTTTTTGTTTTTTTCTGGGAAGGTGACCATGAGGGATGAAAGGGCTCTGTATGGAACAGAGCTGTAAGAAGGTGGAAGTGTCTTCGCAATAAATGAATCTCACAAGAAAGCTCATGAAAAAAGGAGGTTCTGGATTTTTATTCATCAAAAGTTGAGGACCTTACACTTGAAACCAATATATCACTGTATGTTAACTATACTGGAATTAAAATGTAAAAATAAAGTTGAGGATCTATGTGTAGGCACTGCTATTTCTGAGCTACAGTAATGAACAAAAACAGTCTCCGATCTCTAGCACTTATATTCTAGTGGGAGGATTCAGGCAATTAAAGATGTACATTTAAGTGGTGATAAAAAGAACAATGAAGCAGGTTAGTATATGAAGAGTGATTTTTATAAGAGTGGCCATGCTTCAGTTAGGTTAGACGAGCCAACTTTTCTGATAAGAGAGCATGAAAGCAGAGTGTGGAATGAAGTCCCTGTGTCAGGCAGATATCAGGGTGAACGGTCTTTCTTGAAGCAGTAACAGCAAGTGCACACATCCTGAGGCAGCCGCGTGTTTTGGTGCTTTTAACCAACTGAGCCACTCAGGAGCCCCTGTTTGGTGCTTTTAGTACCGAGGGTGTGTTTTGGTGGATGAGAACAAACAGATGGTGGCTCACACAAGGCCACTTCTCATGGGCCACAGTTGGTCCCTCCATCCAGTAGGAGTAAAGAGAAATAATTCTTGCTCTACTGAGAGCACAAATTGACGTCTAGTATGAGTTGGGGTAAATAACATGTCTGAAGCCGGGATAAGAAGCCCTTGTTGCCCCAGGTATCTGATCTCTTTGTTCAAAATACCCAACATCCTTTTAATCACCTTTCTTTCTTTCTTTCTTTCTTTCTTTCTTTCTTTCTTTCTTTTTCTCTTCTTTCTTTCTTTTTCTCTTCTTTCTTTCTTTTTCTCTTCTTTCTTTCTTTCTTTCTTTCTTTCTTTCTTTCTTTCTTTCTTTCTTTCTTTCTTTTTTTGTAAGTTTATTTCTACTTGAGAGCGAGACAGAGCATGAGTGGGTAAGGAGCAGAGAGAGAGGGAGATACGGAATCCGAAGCAGACTCCAGGCTCCGAGCTGTCAGCACAAAGCCCAACTTGGGGCTCGAATTCATGAACTGTGAGATCGTGACCTGAGCCCAAGTTGGACACTTGACTGACTGGGCCACCCAGTATTCACCCTCATTTCTTACTCTGACCCTTTTTTGTTTGCCCATCTACTCAGGATCTGTGAGCAGGAGGTGTCTTAGAAATCCCAGCTAGGCGGGCAGGAGCCAGGAGAATAGCTACAATGACCTCAGCAGTCCTGGTGGACATACAAGAGGAGGTGACCTGCCCCATCTGCCTGGAGCTCCTGACAGAACCCCTGAGCATAGACTGTGGCCACAGCTTCTGTCAGGCCTGCATCACGGGGAACAGCACAGAATGGGTGATAGGCCAAGAAGGGGAAAGCAGCTGTCCTGTGTGCCAGACCGGCTACCGGCCCGGGGACCTGCGGCCGAATCGGCACCTGGCCAACATCGCAGAGAGACTCAGAGAGGTGGTGTTGGGCCCCGGGATGCAGCTGAAGGCGAGTCTGTGTGCACACCATGGAGAGAAACTCCAGCTCTTCTGCAAGGAAGATGGGAAGCTCATCTGCTGGCTTTGTGAGCGGTCTCAGGAGCACCGTGGTCACCACACAGTCCTCATGGAGGAGGTTGCCCATGAGTACCAGGTGGGAGCCCACATGGCAGAAGGCAGGAGGAGCAGGGGGCCTTGGCAGGAGATTGTAACTTTTCTTCATGCTGCAACATAATTTCTTTGTAGTTTTCCTGTTTACCTAGAGGATGAACCTAGAAAAGGCCCTCACTGCCCAAGGGTAACTTTATCTCTTTCTTGCTCAAGACCTGCTCTGCATGAACAGAGGATGATGTGGGGGGAGGGGAGGAGGGCGCAGCTAGGGGCCCTGGTAGATCAAGTGTGAGGAATATGGCGGCAATGAGAGGAAAGTCCTTCGTGGGCAGGTTTTTTCCCTGGGAGGAGAGACAATCAGCCTGCATCCACTCTACATAAAAGATCCTTAGGCCTTCTCAGTTCTTCAGCCCCAGCAGGATAGGCTTCTGAGGTCAGCATAATCTCTTCCCCATTTACTCTGTTCTGGGCATGGAGACAAGCTAGTGCTTGACCCTGCTTGACCTGATGTTTCTTTAAGGAGAAGTTCCAGGAGTCTCTGAGGAAGCTGAAGCAAGAGCAGCAGGAAGCCGAGAGACTAAAAGCTGTTATCATAAGGAAGAGGACATCCTGGAAGGTAAGAGAGATTTCTTCCTGAAGGTGTCCTGGGACAGGAATCAGGGCAGGGCATGGGAACCGAGGGCAAAGGAGCCCTGGTCCTGTCTGTTCCCTCATTTGACTGGAAGAGCTTCCCTTTGCCCCATCCTCACTGCGACCCTTACAAACAAAGGTATTGTTCTTGCTGTGGAGTTGGGGAAGGAGGAGTCAGAGAATGAATACATCAAAAAGGAATTCAGGTTTTTGAAGATAGTTACATAGGAGAGGAAAGGCCATTGGTGGCCCCCAATTCCTGATTCCAGACCTTGTTCTATGGTTTCAAGCTCTGAAAGCTGCTGGAAAGACAGGTCTCACACAGGCCGATCATTCCCACCTTGGTACTCCGAATTGGAAGGAGAGGCCAATGCAGATGCATGGGAGGCCATGGAGGCAGCTTGGAATCTAGACCTCACCCAGGAGCCATAGTCTATATCTAGGAGGGCTAGATAAGGTAGCCTGGGGCTCATGGTCTGGGAAGAGCTGAAAAGAGAACAGAAGGGAAGAACAGGTTCTGCAGGACTTCCTCCCCCATTTACCCTCTCCTGGTGAGACCTGGCCCCAAGAGCCTGACCCCGCCCCCACCATCCCCGCTCCAGAGAGGAGACCCTCAGCTCAACAGACTAGCAGCCTCTTCCTCTTGCATGTTCCTAAAGAATCAGATGGAACCTGAGAGACACAGGATCCAGACACAGTTTAATAAGTTGAGAAGCATCCTGGACAAAGAAGAGCAGCGACAGTTGAAAAAGCTGGAGGAGGAAGAGAGGAAGGGGCTGAGTATTTTAGAAGAGGCTGAGGATGAGCTGGACCAGCAGAGCCAGTCACTGAGGGAGCTCATCTCAGACCTGGAGCTTCGGTGTCAGGGGTCGGCAATGGAGCTGCTGCAGGTGAGACTTGTGAAGGAGCCCCTGGTCTGACGGTCCAGGCAAAGGGAGACTAACTCTCCTTCCCTTCTTACACGGGACTGATGACCTGGTGGGGGCAAGAAAACAATTCGTTTGGCCCACTTGGGCCTTTTACCTGTTAAACTGTGTAGAGGTCATGGATAAAGAATGGAATAATTAAAGTACAAATGCTAGGGGAATGTCTCATTTTTACTTATTATGTATAAACTGAGGTCCAAAACTTTATTTGATACAGTGGAGAAGCTCTGTTATATCCATTGATGTTCTACAGCAGCACTTCTGAATCTCGGCACTATTGATATTTTGAGCTGGGAATTCTTTGCTGGGAGGGGCTGCTCTGTGCATTGTAACATGTTTAGCAGGATCCCTGGCCTCCACCCACTAGATGCCAGTAGCTCCACCCCCCACCCCCCACCCCTGTCCGCTCTGACAACCAGAAATCCTCCAGATATTGCCAAATACCCTTGTGGGGCACATAATGCCTCTTCTCCTGTTGAGAAGAGGTAGGCATTCAGCACCTGTTGTCTCTGATGCTGACTTGGGATTTGTCAGGTACTTTTCACCCAGCTTAGTCCCCGGCAAACGCCTACAAAGCTCAAGTACTTAGAGGTTCTGTATGTAATCACCAACCCTTCTTTGGTTTACTGTCTTCTTAGGGCAGAATCATTTAACGTGTTGTGATAGAAGTTCGAACAGGTCTTTTTAAGGCACAGAGAAGACTGGACTCTGGGGTGTGTGTGCGTGAGCGTATGTGTGTATTGGGAGGGTGCCAGGTGTCAAATCTGGAGAGGTTTCGTGCAGGAGCTTGAATTGAAGTTGAAATCTGAGCAGGTATTTTCTGCATAGAGTGAATAGGGTGACTATGAAGTGGAGACAGGATGTACTTTGTAACCTTCTGGAACCTTCAGGCTGTTCCTTACTTTCTGTTTGCCTACTTGCTTTCCTCTTCTCCCTTTGGTGGTAGAATAATCATTGCCTGTTCTTGCGCCCTACTATTGGGGTCATTACTAGAATGTCACTATGACATTCTTCCACACTCCTGATTTCCCATCTTCATTTTATTCTTCTTGCCCTTTTGCTTCGTCTTTGACATTGGGTTACCCTGATGCTTCTCCCTGCTCCCTTTCTTGCCTCTCCACAGACCCCTCAAGATGTAAAAATTGCTCTGTACATGCAAAGGGATCATCAGTGTATGTCGCTCTCCCAGGCACCCGTGTATACTGTCACACGCATTAGCATGACTTGCCCAGGGGGCGTCTTAACTTGAGTGCTGTCTCACAGTCAGTTTTTCTAGAGCTTGTCCAGCACAAACACATTCCTCTTCTCTTTTCTGTATCTATGGGGCATTGCTGCGCAGTAAGATTTGATAGCTGCTGCAAGCCCACAGCTTTCAAGTTTCAAAATATGACCCCTGAGAATAACACTAACAAAAGAAAAAGAGCCATGAAGTGGCACCCTGATTTGGCCATTTGGGTTCCTCAGTACAGCCATGCCTTAAGGCCCACACAACCTTGGATATTTGGTGTAAGTTGACACGTATCCACCACCTCCACTGCTTCCCACATGCAGGCCAGTTTAAAGATAGCCCCGACACAGAGAAAATAGATGAAACCGTTGGCCTTTTTTTCAGTAATTGTGGTAACGAGGCAGAAGTTAGGGAGACCAAGTGGGAGGCTATGAGGCATTTCTGCTCAAGTGAGGGAGGAGGTGGCAGTGATGACAGTGAAGACCAGGTGGCTAAAAGAAGTTGCGAGCATGAAATGGACTGGCTTGGCCTAAGATGGGATGTCAGGGTGAATGTAAGGTAGTTTTTAGGATGATACTTTGTCTAAATGTGGTGACTAAATGGATGCTGGTAACACTGAGGAAGATGGAAGATACGAGACCTCATGGTTGCAGAAAAAGTAAGTTTTCCTTTAAACATTTTGAGTTTGTGGTGTCGGTGGCTCATTTGCTGGTGCAGATGAGAGTGATCTGAGCAGAAGTTCCAATTTGGGAATCATCAACACACGTGTGTGTCAAAATCAAGAAAACTGGAAGAAGTCAGCAAGGATAGCTTAGAGGGCTGGAAGAGGCAAAGTTTGAAAAATAACCATAGTTAAGACTCTTGTATCCTTAGCAACTAGAATGTAAGCATCTCAAGGACAGAAATTATGACTTAATCATGTGAGATTCTCTAGTGCTAATAGGTGATGTGCATATATAACATTACACACATGCGCGCGCACACACACACACACACACACACACACACACACTATTGTCAAAATAAAGGTGCTATTGATGAGTTGAATCATCTACCAACATTCCTACATAGAGGCTCAGGGACAGTCTACTTTGAGTTCTTATCTCCACTTTGTGGCTGCCATATTGGGTCCATCTTTATTTCCATGATATCATGGGGTTGTGGGGAATGGATAAGGAATATGGATGAGGCTGTGTTAGAGGATAAGACCTATAACTCCTTGCCTTAACAATTTCTCTTTCCTTCCTAGGATGTGAGTGATGTCATGAAAAGGTATGTGTAGGAGAATACAGGGTGGTTCCCTTGGATTGACAAAGGTTCCGATACCCATAGAATTATCTTGTGGTCAGTGGAAAAGGAAAGAAGAAAAATCACAAGACGGGAAATTTAGGACTATGATGTCCTGAGTTGCTCATCATGAGGATTTTTGGGTTCCCTGAACTAAAGGGAATGACCTGGTTTCTATGGTAGGAGAATTTGAGTGATGGGGTGGGGATGGATGTCACAAATTGGGGACAGTGGTTCTTAAGAATAAAAGGTTACAGTATCATTTACTCTTCTAGTATCCTATGATGGAACATTTTTGCCACAAAACTCTACCTGCTTCCAGCCCTGATTCCAGTAGTTTATAGCTACCTCAATCTACACAGGGATTTTCTTTGTCCATGTCTTTTATCAGAGGGAAATTTCCCATCTGTGTTTCCCAAGGTCCAAGAATCAGTTCTTGGGGCATCTGCCTTCAATTTCCCTTTCTCCCTTAGCTTTAGAACAGTCCTGCCTTGCTACCTATTTCTCCTCAGACTTCCATTTTTCTCAATTCCAATAAAAACATAGATGTGAAATCTTGAGAAGAGTTGTTTTAGGCCTCGAACAAAAGCTGTTTTCTTCTCTATCACATACTCTAGAATTTCATCCATCAAGATGACGGCTAAGGTTATCCACACACCTGGTACCTTTACGCTCCTCACATACACATGAAATATGGAGACTGTTGTCCTTTCTGAAGTCTTCACTCTCAGTTTGGAGAAGATGTCTCCTTTCTCCAACTGGCGTAATATTCCTAGAGACAGGCCTCTTTTTGAAGGCCTTTCTCCCTAGGCCTCTGGGAGACCCTAAGGCCTAAACTCAGTCTTCAGAAGAAGCCCTTTACTCAATACTCTCAGAGCCCTGGCAGCAGGTTCCTGGCAGTCTCCCTTCAACACAGCCACTTGTAGTAGACCCTCTAAGGTGGCACTTGTAAGCATTTTGTATCTTGTTTAGAGGAAGCAAAGGATTTCCCAGTCACTATTTTATTTAATGTTATATAATCTTAAGATGTAGAGAGAGAAGGGAAAATGATTGTATTTTACAAAAACAACAAAACCAACCAAAATGAGGCTTTGAAGGGTTAGATCTTATCATAGTTTACACAGATGCTGAGAAGCTAGTTTCTAGTCCAAGTCTTTGGTTCCAGTGCTAGGGCTCTTTGCTGAATTATGCTAATTTTCTTCAAGAAAGAATGTTTAAGTTCTCCCAGGGACCTGGGAGATGAGGGAGATGGGTGTTGGAAGAACCCAAGGGCAGCAGTGTAGGAGATTCATAAGGTCTCTTCTCTCTAGAAGTGAGTTCTGGACCCTAAAGAAGCCAGAAGCTCTGCCCACCAAGCTGAAGAGTATGTTTCGAGTCCCAGATCTGAAAAGGATGCTGCGAGTGTTTAGAGGTGAGGAGATTCAAGGGACAGCTTTTGGATGTGGAATTATTGTAGCCCAAGCAATAAATAGAATAGAGTGAAGAGTTGATATTTGGGGAGAGTGGTGCAGAGAGAGGTCAGAGAGGGAGGGACATAGCATGCTGCAAAACATACAGTTCATATTTAAGGAGGAATGAGATGGCCAACTTGCATCCTTACAGAAGTCCCTGCCTCCCCCCTCAATCCATGATGGGGAGACAGCAGACCTGAGACTGTCAGTTCTGTGCAACATGATTGACTGTGGTTATCATTACAGAACTGACGGATGTCCAGAGCTACTGGGGTAAGTAGCCAGCATGGCATCTTTGAGCAACATGTCCTTATTCTCTTTCACATGCTCCCCCCCTTCTCTGACATACCCACATACTCTAAGGCACGAAGTGTTAATACCATCCCTCCATACCCCCATGTAGTTCCAATTCCTCCACTTCTGTGTTTCCTCTTTTCAGTGTCTTAAGACCCGCGTACCTATCCTCCCCTGCTGATGTTGTATCTTTTCCCACAGTGGACGTGACTCTGAATCCACACACGGCTAACTTAAATCTTGTCATGTCTAAAAACCGGAGACAAGTGAGATTTGTGGGTGCCACGCTGCCTGGGTCTTACCTGGAAGAGCATTATGACTGTGGTATCCTGGGCTCCCAACATTTCTCCTCTGGGAAACACTACTGGGAGGTAGATGTGGCCAAGAAGACTGACTGGATCCTGGGGGTGTGCAGTAATTCAGCGGAACCCACGTACTGTTTCAACCAGTTTACGAATAATCGAAATGTTTACTCCAGATATCAACCTCAAAGTGGATACTGGGTGATTGGGCTACATCATAAACATGAATATAGAGCCTATGAGGAATCTTCCACTTCCCTGCTCCTCTCTATGATGGTGCCCCCTCGCCGGGTTGGGATTTTCTTAGACTATGAGGCTGGCACTGTCTCCTTTTATAATGTCACAAACCATGGCTTTCCCATCTACACCTTCTCTAAATATTACTTTCCTAGCACCCTTTCTCCATATTTTAATCCCTGCAACTGTGTGGTCCCGATGACCCTGCGTCGCCCAAGCTCTTGAACATTCTGCCATCTCCACTCACACCTGAGCAGTACCCTCTAGTCTGAGGTCCATCTGTACCTCAGTCTCTCTTTTCTGAACTTCTGTATTCCTGCACTCTCATGCCTTTCACTTTGAACATGTACTCAATTCTAGAATATACCCAGAGGTGATAGTGAACATCCCTGACTAGTTAATTACAGACCTTTGGATGAATGGAGGGTAGCTTTCAACATGTTACCATTAAGCATGGTATTTGATGGAGTTCTTTTTGTTGTTGTTGATTCATGGGATCAAATTTTTAGGAAGTTCTGTTCTATTTTCTATATTTTTTTAATATTGAATGGAAAATTGAATTTCAGCAGATACTGTCTATAATATGGAGATTTCTTGTGTCATTTTTATTCTGTTATTGGAGTACATTGATTTGTTTCCATTTTTAAATGCAACACAAAGTCCTGAAATAAATCACTATTATTCTTCACATGTGATACTGGATTTATTTTTGCTAATACATTGTTTAGGTTTCATTCCCATCTCTGTTTATGAAAGAAATTGACCTGTGATGTTACATTCGTATAACATCATTGTCAGGTTTTATAAAATGCAACAAATGAACAAGTATTGTATTTTTGTGTAAGTATATATAGGATTGAGTGCTAAAAACCATTAGAATGTTAATTCTGATGGCTTTAAATTCAAAGAAAGAAATTTTAATTTCAGTTTTTACTACAACCTTCATGGATTTAAAATTGTTAGCGTAGTGTTTGAAAATTTAAAACAAATCTCCCAAATTCATTGAATTGAATAGAAAATTGAATAGAAATAGAATAGAAAAAGGAGAGAAGAAAGTGATAAATCCAAAACAGGTTTTTCTCCCAGAATGGGAGGAAACATACAAAGAAAATAATATAAAGAATTTTAAGGAAGAGAATGATTTTTTCCAGCTTTACCCCCTTTCTTTATGCTCAAATGTGAACAGCTTTGTGAATGAGCTGCTAGGACTTTGGCAGAGGTGCTATATGCTTTTGAGCCAGCTGTAAAAGAAATTATGAGGTGGATGTGAGAGTGGAAACAGAAGTTAGCTAGAGCTGTCCAATATGGTAGCCAAGAGCTACCAGTGGCTGTTGAGCACTTCAAGTATTACTATTATGAATTGAAGTCTGCTGTACATGTAAAATGCACACCTGGTTTTGAGGACTTAGTTTATTTTTTTATATTTATTTATTTCGAGAGACAGAGAGCAGGTGAGAGTCAGAAAGAGAATCCTAAGCAGGCTCTGTGCTTTCAGCTCAGAGCCCCACATGGGGCTCAATCTCATGAACTGCGAGATCATGACCTGAGCTGAAATCAAGAGTCAGATGCTTACCTGGTTGAGCCACCCATGTGCCCCAATGACTTAGTTTTAAAAAAATGTAAGGTATCTTACGACTTTTCTATTGTAGATTGCAATGATACTATTTTGCATATACGGGATTAAATAAGTATATATTAACTACACTGGTTTCATTCCACTTTTTTGATGTAAATGCTAGAAAATTTAAAGTTACATGTGGCTCACATAGCTTTTCTATTGAATAGCTCTTATTGTAATGCAGTTTCTATCCATATGGGGGCCTTGTGTAGGCAGATATGTTCATCTCTACACAGACCTCTTGCCCCTCTGAGGCATTTTTGTAGAAGAAGGTAATGGCAGAGAGAAGATCTCAACATATCTAGATATTTACAATGTGGGAGATCATAGCAAGGGATCATGGCCAGAGAATATGACTGCCTAGTCTGGTCCCTGTCTTTAGTCATCAGTCTGCTGGACTTTTGTAGTTCTTTCATGGTTTGAGGAAATCCTAACTAGTTCATCCTCAGGCTCAGCTCTGGTGTCTGGGGGGAGATTAAGTACAGGATATAATCAGAGCTCAATAATGGCTTGCTGTAGGGCAGGGTTTTACTTGAGAGATGAAATTTGTGGGAGACCAGAGGCCACGTGCACACTCTTCATCCTGATTTCCATTTCACTTGGAAGAAATGTGAAAGGAGATAGAGCTGGCAAATGGTTGTCCACAGAGCTGGTGGGTGTTCACGGATGAGAAATGATAAAAGGGAATCGGCCTGAGTAATTGCTCCCTTCTCACTTAGTTTCCCAGGAAATAAATTTCAGGGAAAAGGAGTTAGCCCAGCTGTCCTCTGCCAGCAGAAGTGTTCCATGAATGACCGTAGACAATAAGGAAACACATAGTACTAGCTGGGATTGTGTTGGTGAGGTCTGGGGAAGGTTGTCCAATTTGAGATTTGGAGGAATGAGTTTGCAGCCTGACTCCTGGGGAAATCTGGGCAGAAGCCTACTGGCCTTGACATTTTGGGCACAGCAGGACAAACCTGCTGTGAAAAGTAAATCCAAACACGTAACTTAGGATCAAACACTAAAGACATTTATTTCTTATAAAAATCAAACACGAGTGTAATTAGTGCTGTGTGGCACTGTTTCATGTGAGTTTCATGCACCAAGCTTTCTTCCTCCTGAGTCTCTGCCATCCCCAAGGACAGTATTGTCATAAGCATCAAGCCAGCAGAAGGGTAAAAAAGCTTGGAGAGGCAGTTTGCTTCTTAAATTTTTCAATTATATACGGGATTCGTAATTTCTGCTCACTTTCTGTTGCTGAGAATAGCCATCTGGCCATACCTAACTGCAAGGAAAAATGTAAAAATGTCTAGCCACATGCAATCGTGTACAATCAAATTTCAAGGGAAGGAGAGTGCAGATTTTTGCAGAGACCTAGTGGTCTGTTAGGTGGGACAGTCAGGAGTGCCTGGGACCTAAGGCAATTCCTCTTCCTCATTACAAAAGACTCAGGATCTTAGCTTTTTTTCTGGAACCATGTTTATTCCATCTTGTAGCCTGAAACTCATAAAGAAAAGGGGAAGAGATGAGATGTTTTGTTGTCATACGCATAGGCATAAGCTAAGTAACAACCATCTTTTTAAATTAAAGGCCAAGCTACGCTCAAAGTTAAAGGAGATAGAATAAGAGAAATAGAACTGGTAGAGAGTGTTATCAGGATTTTCAGGAGGTTGGAGACAACCAGATCTGGAATGTATACTCTGATCTGATTGGATGAACTCCTGTACAGATTGTAAGTGGGTTCTGTTCAGTCTCTTATCTTGTTACTGCCAGGAAGACATCTGCAGAGACGAAGTACTAATGAGAGCTGAGCTGAGGGGGTTGGGCCTATGGACATACATAAAGACATGAAATAATTCAAAAAGAACTAGAGGAAAAAATATGGATGGACAAAGTTACCTACTTAAATAAATAGATGTTCAGAGGTGGCTGAGTGGCTCAGTCGGTTAAGCCTCCAGTTTCAGCTCAGATCATGATCCCACGGTTCGAGAGTTTGAGCCCGCATAATGGCTCTCTGCTGATAGCGCAGAGCCTGCTTCGGATACGCTGTCTCCCTCTCTGCCCCTCCTCAATTCATGTGTGCACTCGCTCAAGGAAAAAAAGAGATGTTCATTTAGTTACTGAACAATGAAGTTAAAGGGGGAAAAATAGATGTTAAATAATTACAAGGAGCTGAATATCAATAAACTACTGAGATGATTATGGAAAGAAAATGAGAGGTCAGGCTTCCTCTGCCTTCCTTTATTATGATAATTCCATATCACAAGAAGAAGTAGAACCTCTATTCACCAATAATAATATAACGCTTGATAGGAAGACAATGTTACAACATTAGTAAGACTACCATTGTAGAAGATAATATCAAGAGATGTTCTTGAGATTAAAATGTAATAGCACGTTTTGTTGATAAATCCTGCTAAAGAAAAGCTATACCCATACGATTTAAATATTATGGTCATTGGTTTTCTCCGATAGTCTTGGATTGATGTACTTCTCTAACAAAGTTAATGTCAGCTTCTAAATAAGGTAATTGCAATAATTGTTCTATGCTTATTACTATAGGACATTTGCACACTGACCTGCTAATGTTATCAAAGCCAAAATGAGTCATACAGAAAAAAAAAAAAAAAGATTACCACAGTGTATTGGAGGAAACTACACAATAACTTAAGGGCTAGAGAGACTTGAGTCATTAAATCATCTTTAATAACCATTGAAGAGGTTCTAAATTTTGTCAATGGACTAAGAGGAATTAACAAAATAGTTCATTGGATAGAGAACAAATTAGGACCAGTCGTACTGCATGTTTGAAGATTAGTTGATATCACAAAACAAAAGGGATTTGTATGTGTTTGACTGTTTTGTTGCTGTTGTTATTGTTATTATTCCTATCAATAAAGCCAATTTGTCTTCATACACACTGTAAGTTTACAGTCTTACTCCAGGGTTACTTGGAGCCTCTTGTTTGTTATTTTAATCTACTACATAAATGTTTAATAGACTTCCCTTTTCTGTATTTCATTTTATGATGGCATTTCAATAGTAGCACTATTGGGTTACATTCCATGCAGCATATCAATGATATCACCTTCTCTTATATAACTTGTGCTTAATTGCAGTGGCTTCTAGAGCAACAAGGGCATCCTTGTGCTACAACAGAATGTTCAGATGGCTCTGTCTTTAGGATCATGGAATAATCCAAATCCCTGTGACTTCCATGTCAAAGACACATTGGAAGATGGTGATTGGAATGTGTGCCAGTGGCCCTGCGCTGACAGCACAAAACAATCTTTGAGCTTTTGGATCTGCTAAGGAGCATGTATAGTCTTTGAAAATTATACTTTATTAATGGCCACCAACTATTTGATCCATGATCTGTCAATCACAGTACCTAGAGACTATCCTCTTTTAGTTTGGACCAATAATGGATATTCCAAGACAAGTCAGGGAACCATTTGAAATGTAAATGGTATTACAAAAGAGTCAAAAGAAATTCATAATACTCAAAATGTAGGAAAAGACTTCAATAGCTACCTTACCTAAAAATGATACTAAGAAATACGAAAGTTGAATTGTAGTTTGTGTTGACTAAGGTAATGATAAAAAATTTAAGTTGAAAGCTTAT